GTTCAAGCTCCACTCTTCAAATTCTAGGGTTCTATCTTTCATTCTTTCATTATTTTTCATCTAGTTTCACCATGATTATGGTGAACTAAACCTTCATTGTTGTTGGGGAATCAATGTAATCCTTTGAAACTCTCATGTATTGAATTGGTTCTTTAATACATATGCTTTCTTTCATTAATTGTTAGGGTTTTTCTTTTATACTCTATGCATTCTTTGTTTAACTCATTCAATTGCATGATCATTGATTTTATTTGTATGGACACATATAGATAAATCTAGACATGAAGAAATTCTCCCAATAGTAATATTGCCTAGACATAGGGATAGGAGGATTGGTTGCCTTTAAGCTTCTGTGCGAAAGTAATGCATGAATAATTGCTAGGGAGACAAGACATTGTAAACTAGTGATTAGGAGTAGGATTTCTTCACCGAGACATCGGGTTTAAGGTAAATTAGAAAGTGGCATTAACATTAATGAAGAAAGATGAATTCTTGAATACATGAGAGTGGATAGGATGAATTGAAAACCCAAACAACATCATTATTCCATATATTTCAATCACGTTTTGCTTCTTTTGTCCAATTTATCAATACATGTATTCATATTTACTTTTTAGTATTTGCATTTAAATCTCAAAGAATTGGTTTTTCAAGTCTTATTTAATCAAGAAACCATACAACTGTTTAGGTCGTGAGTCCTTTGGGAAACGATACTTGGTCTTACCATTTTATTATTACTTGATACGATTTGGCTACACTTATCGAGGGTTAACAGTAATGAGTTATCAAAGCTTTTGGGTTTTGTAGTTAAAAAGGGAGGTTTTAATAGGCAAGTTTGTTAGATAAGGGTTGGTTTGAGAAGTTTGATATTTCAAGTCTGTGGTAATGTTAATTGAGACTTCTTGGAGTGTTAAACTGATTGGAATATGATCTAGAGCTAAGGGATAGTCCTTTGGTACTGTTTTAGATGGTTTTAAGTACAAATTGAGGATTTTGAGTAGTGAGATTTTGAAGTAGGAGGTTTATACTGAATTAGGGAATTTGGGGTTTTTTTTAGTCATTTATGACTTTTTTTTAACTTCTTCTTTGCTGAAACTGGTGTTATAAGTAGTAGATTTGAGTTTGGGTAAGTTTATAGTAGTCAAGTTGGGTTTGAGGTAGCTATTTGGAGTTAGAGATGTGGTTTCAAATGTCTCTTAGTGTCTAGGAGGTCTTAGGAGCCAGTTAAACTACTATAGAGGGTAACAAAGGTCAGATTAGAGTTATATATATTTCTAGTGTGACGTTTAGCACCCCCTTAGCACCCTATTTATGCAAGCTTTGGGCTTGAGCGCCCTGTTTGTGCAAGGTTTGGCGCCACTGTTCTTTTGGAGTTTGGGCACCCTTTTCCAATTGCTCCTGGCGCTTGGGCACCCTTTATCATATTTTTTTGGGTTTTCCAGTTTGAGTGTTTTATGATTTTTCTGATGCACTGTTTTGTATCTTTTAATGTATATTTAATGGTTTCATATGGATTTCGTTGTGATACATGAAGTCGAATGTGTATGTATATATATATATATATATATATATATATATATATATATATTAAGTGGACAGTTATGGAAAATGGTTCCAAGGTGTAACTTCTTGTTTGTAATTCCAAGTATTGTAAGTATGAATGTAGGAATCTTAGTCTTGGGGTTCATCCTGACACTAATGATAATTTATTCTCACATAGAAAGGGTGAGACATGTGGTGAGAGTAGTAGAAGGTCCTAGTCTAGGGATCTTACCTTGGCCTAAGGCGTTGGTTAACGAACTAACCTTGTGTGGTAGCTTGGGGTGGGCCAGCTATTTCACCACTACAAGTGCATAAACCACCATAACTCGAGATTCATACTATATTTGGATAATACAGTATAGGTCTTGACATGTTTAACATGAGTGGATTGTTTTATGATAAATATGATTCATGTGTTAAATATTAATGTATATTATGATTTGTTTTGTATCACTAGCGAGTTGTGAGGGTGAAACAATGACTCACTTAGATGAATATATAGAAGTAGAATTTTTTTGTGATAAATTTGTTTTATATAGTTATTATTGGTACCTTCATTTTGGTTGTTTTTATATTATTAAAATGTAATGAAAAATTAATATTAATTTTTATATGTGATAAGTAATGATAATGTATAAATGTATTTATCAAAATTTAATATATAAAATTTATATTTAATTATAAAAAATATATTACAAGATACGAATTCATTAATATTTTGATAAACAATAAGAATGTTTCAATAAATTTTTTAAATTTTAATTGAATTTAATATACAATTTTTTTATGCAAAACGTTGCACTACTACGGCGCCACTGTTCTTTTATCATATGAGGAAGACTTTATTCAACAAGGAACACAAACACCATAGGAAAGTAAACAAGAAAGTAAGCTGATTCTTTTTATTCATAATTTATTCCCATAAAATATAATTGAACCAAAATGAAAAGGTAGCCAAAACGACCATGAGCATCTTCATTAAAATTCATAATATATTTCTTCATTTATCGTATTTTAATTTGACAATTTTTGTTGTCCTATTATTCATTTGTATTTTTGAAATTCGTGCGTGCTTTTATATATATTCTGTTTCAGATAAGGATGTAAATGTTTTACTTTGCTGTGACGTGTTGCTTAATTTATTATGCATTAATGCAAATTTATTACTGATTAAATCGTTTGTCATGCATTTTAAAGCTCGTAAATATTGGACCAAAAATTTGCTGAGTCCAATCAATCTATCAGTTGAATTTCCGTAAGCAAAAACGAAATCATTTCTTACTTTCTTAAAGTGCTTTTTGTTTTACTAATTATAAAATATTATACAACAGAATTTTCGTTTGTAATTAATTTTAGGATATTATACCCAATTATTTTAAACTATATATAGAATTTCGTTAATTATGTAACAAAGTAAGTAGTTACTAGTGTATCTAAACTAAACTTAATAATTATATTGTAAAGATAATATTAAATGTATAAGTTCCTTGTTAACTTATTTTTAAGGAACACCTTATAAATATGTTTTTGATTTGATTTGGTTTATCTGGTATACTGAATATAGGGTCATTTAAGTTTAATTTAACTTTATGTAGACCAATAAGTCATTTTTTATATTTTTAAAAATAAATTTAAATATAATATAATATATTTTAAATTTAAATGATATTTATAAAATTCATTTTAGTTTCAAATATAACTTTGAATATATATATATATATATATATATATATATATATATATATATATAATATGAATGCATATGCTTATTTTAGTAAAATACTTTTTTAAAAATGTTTACTATAGTACTTTTATTTTTCTATAATAGAATTATTATTTTTTGAAATAATTCAACTCAGTCACCCCCAAGATCAAAGAAAAATGATCCAATTCAAACTGTGTACTCTTTTAACAAGCATATTCTTTACATACAATTTTATATTCAACACGTAATGAATATAAATACATCTTTTAAAATAAAAAATCAAATATATCTATTTGTCTTCATGGGATAATATTAAAAAAAACAAGAAAAAAAGGTAAAATAAAATTTTCATATATTAAAATTAATTTATACTCAAACTAATACATTTTCATATGTTTTTTGAATATCTCATTTTAATAAAGAAATAAAACAAACCTTTCCATATGCTATTACATAATAGCGTAAAAGTATTTTAAGAGAATGATGTTGCAAACATTTATTTGTATCTGTTTTTAACTCTGACTTGGAATTTATATATATTAGTTAATTTTAGTTGATAATATTTCATTATAATTTTTCTTTGTTTCTTTTTATATAATTGCTTATTGAAAGCTTGTAATATATATTTTTTTCATGAAAAAAATCTCATGGATGAAGATAATAAAAAATTCTAAAGTAAATATGCTTTTGAAAGAAATAAGTTTGACCACAATAAATGAAACGGGAAAAGAAAAAGTGCTTCAACAAATATTAGGAAATGAAAAGAAAAAAACAAAAAGTTTGAGTAAAGAAACAGTGCACACAAAAACGACAAAACAGAAAACAACATAACGGGGGTGGCCATATGCTTGATACCGCATTGGACGTTATTCAATAATTAACTTTCCTGCAATACGACGTCGCCTTCTCCTCCTTCGTGTTCACACTCCCACGTGTTTATTGCGTGACACATCACCCCACAGTTTTAATGAAGAAACAAGTACCATGTTCCACTCCAACAACAAAAATGAAACAATAAATAAAACAGTACCATGTGGGGGTTAACTATATTTGGGTCGTTCTATGGGACCCACATTCACGCCATTCACCTGCACAATTTTTTTTTATATTTTTTTAATCTCACTTACAAGTTACCATTATTATTCGATTAATCAATTAAATATTGTTTTTCTTGGAGAGATACGTACTAACCAATAATTCTGTTGGTTATTTCGAAATAGGAAACCTTTTTCAAACTTTCACCCTTATCTAAAACCTTTCATAAACAATCTTTTAAGCATTTTGTCAAAAATATTAATGATTTCTTAAAATGATCATTTTTAATTTGGTCACATTTTTATGTTATTATAGTAATATTTTTACTATAAATTTAATAGAATGAGATTAATAAAAAAACACCTTAGAATAAAGTGATTAAGCCTAAAAAATCCATATAAATATCAACTTAACTTAAATGAACCTGAGTGGTTTTATATTGAACAACGTGTTGTTGTCTCACTATTAAACAAGGAATAAATATATTTATCAAGTGTTTGAATTTGTATTTTTACGAAGCTAATTTGATCAAAGAGGATAAATTTGGATTTAATAATATTTTAAATGGAAATTCAACTTTGATCAAACTGTTAACTATCTGTTTCTCAGTTAAAATCATAAAATCAGATAATAATGTTACATATAAAAATATGATTAAAAAATACGAGTTAGTTGATTGGTTCCTTTGATATACATATACTCCTCCAACCACCAATATTCTTTGTCTGTGTTAAACTCTTGTCTTTCTCTCTCTCCTCAAGATAAGGCAGAGAAGAGAAGGAAAGAGAGAAGGAGAAGGAGAAGGAGATGGAGGGTGCAAACACGGTGGTGGAGCAATCCGTACCAACGCCGTCCAAGTTTCCGTTGAGCTTTTGGGAAACCACGGTGGCTTCAACGGTGGCTTTGATTTTCGCTGTGGGTCTAGCCGGCGTGTACCTCACCATGCCCGATTCCGATTATAGCTTTCTGAAGCTACCCCGCACCCTCCAAGACCTTAAACTCCTCCGGTAATGTTTCAACCAACATTCCCTTTTCTGTTATTTTACACGTGAATGTTGAAAAACAAAGAAAAGACCAACCTTTACTTCGTTTTCGTTGTTGGGGTTCCGCTTTCTTCTCTGTTTTCTTATTGGGTGTTTTCATTCTGGTGCAAGATGCGATTTTTATCAATTTGGTATGATTAATCTGTTGCAAATTTCATTGCTTTTTAAATGAATGTTCTGATTGTCAAATCTGGTTTATTCTGTTGAAAAGATCTGACCGGGAACCGTGATTTCGGTCCAATCATGATGATTAATTAAAATCGTGATTTGAGAATGCTGTTTATAAGGATTCTGCGTAAATAGGATTAGGCTATTTTAATTTTTTTTTTCTCTCTTCCCTTTCTCTATTTTATCCCTTTGAAAAGCAGATCTGGAAAGGGTGTTGGGGTCTTGAGGGATCCCGCCGCTTGGAGGTAGTACATGAGAATATTAGGTTTGTTATCGTTAATAAATTAATCGAGGCTTTTGCTTTGAGTCAACAAGCTGGCATGTTGCAAGTTGCGAGTATTTATTGGCTGAAGGTTCACGTGCTATTCTAGTAAGGGTTCGGTTAACAAAACTTTGGTGCAGTTTGCAGTTAGTCCTAGGTTCTAACTTGTAATCATCTTATTTTATTTTCTGATAAACTTGTTTCCATATTTAAATAAAAAAAATTGCAAGTTGCAAGTTGTTGGACTTTGACTGAGATCAAGCAATATGTTTTCTTATTATTCCACTGTATGTGACTTAGGATGAACCTTGGTTCAACGTTATGGTTGTTGTTGTTGTTGATGATGCCCTGTAACTTGGAGGCACAGGGTCAAATCGTCATAGATTGACCACAAGTCATGCATATATAAGCTAAAATACCAACGCTTTTGGGTGGTTAGCTGGAGAAAGAAATAGACTACTTGACGTAAAACTGATGTATGTTTTCTCAATCATTTGGTCTGCAGTGGGAGCAGGCTAAATGATGGAATCTTCTTATGCTTTGAGATAGTCTATTGACTTTGCATTTCATTTCAATGAGTGGATAATATATATAATTCATCCTATGTTTTAAAAATGATTGTGCTTGTGTGGAAAAGGGAATTTGGTGGATCCTGAATGTAGAACGGGAAGTTGAATATAATACAAACTGTGTAATGCTTTATCTACCTTGTATTTATTTTTGTAGAGATAACCTTGAGAGCTATACAAGTGACTACACTGCACAAGTCTTGGTGGGATACTGCGTGGTATATATTTTCATGCAGACTTTCATGATTCCAGGGACTGTTTTCATGTCATTGCTTGCTGGAGCACTCTTTGGAGTCTTTAAAGGAATGGCACTGGTTGTGTTCACTGCTACTGCAGGAGCTTCTTCATGCTACTTCCTGTCTAAACTGATTGGACGTCCAATTCTCTCCTCCCTCTGGCCTGAAAAGTTGAAATTCTTCCAAACCCAGGTTTGTTTCAACTTCCCACCACATTGGTTTTGATCCAATCCACATGGAAGTGAAAAAGTTATTTGTATGTATCCACAGGTGGCTAGAAGAAGAAAGAGTTTGTTGAACTACATGCTTTTTCTGAGATTGACTCCAACCCTGCCCAACACATTTATTAATTTTGCTTCGCCAATTGTGGATGTGCCTTATCATATCTTCTTCTTGGCAACTGTTATTGGACTCATACCCGCAGCTTATGTCACTGTCAAGGTACGTAGCCTACCAAAAATAGGACAGAGAAGAGTGAAATGTTTTAATGATGTGATTCTAAGAGATAGAGAGAGAAAAAATGGTGTACAGATTGTACAAGTAAATACTTCACATCTTGAAAAGGGTACTGTTATCTCAATGAATCATATGCACTTTTATCATGAGTTTTTGTCTTTTTAATTATTAAACTATTGTATCTTGGAAAGAATATTTCAGCTGTCTCTGATTGCATTTGAGTTTCTCGTTTTCTTATGCAGGCTGGGTTAGCTCTTGGAGAGTTAAAATCCATGGGGGATCTCTACGATTTCAACTCAGTTGCTACCTTGTTCCTCATTGGTGTTGTGTCAGTTACACCCACATTAATGAACAAGAACGAATCATAGCATTTTATAGGCCAAGAATCATTGCTGTATGATGGCCTTGTTCTCCTGACAGCTAATATCAGTTCAGTATTTGTACAGATCTCCAAAAGAAAAGGAAAAAAAAAGCAATTTCATTGTGATTCTCTGCAAATAGATTATTCCAAATGCTGCAGTAGTTCAAGACAAGCATATGATTGGTTGGATCTATGCTAGTGGCAAGAAACGAAGATTGGCTGAATTAGTTATGTACATTATTCACGAGTTGATATGTGTAAAACATTCACATATTGAATGGTAGTTATTTTGTCATGTTTACATCAACAAAAGATGTTTTCTTCATCTTTCCCATCATTTGATTATTACACATCAATCACTCGTTCACTTTCCCCGTCTTTCGTATTACAATCAATATAAAGTACATGAAATCAGTGCATCATGTGCATTGGGGGGCAGGTAGGATATGGAACCTACTGCGCCAACCACGAATGTGAAGAAAAGTGTGTAAGCATGGGTTGCTATACTAAATATTTTAAAAGTTCACACTCTCAACTGAAATTAATCTTTATACTTGAACCAACTCATGTTCTTCTCAATCAAGAATCTTGAGTTTTGGAATGTATACTATGTATTAAATAGAATATCATATGATGAATTGAAGAATGTGTGAAAAGTGTTATCTCTTTGTATTTTTTATAGTTAAAATTTGGAAAATGATACTTGAACAACCATTTTTGACAACATTTAGACACGCGCACACGTGTATAAATTTGAGTGGTCCAGTTGGAAAAATTAAATGAAAATGGACCACTCAAATTTAGACACGTGTGCGCGTGTCTAAATGTTGTCAAAAATGGTTGTTCAAGTGTCATTTTCCTTAAAATTTAAACCTCAGTGTCCTTTGTTCATGAAGTTGAATCTACCTACGGCAAGTTGGCAACTGAGAATAGTATAAATGTGAACTGACAATGGCAATCTCCAGTCTCCAGTGTCGGATATGAAAAGTCAGTGATTGAAAAAGGCAATTGAGTAATGAGAGTTGTTCATTTTGATAGAAAATTGCATGTTTTAATGCTTCTTTACTTCCACTCATCCTCACAATACATTCTTCATTTCACATTTGCGTACAAGCATAATCTACAAGTCAGGGAATAACAAACTCAAATCCCACGAAGACATAACTTATAAATGAAGACATTCTAGAACACACTCTTATAAATATGAAATTGTGACATTTTATTGTCGCAGCCCGTAAGCTTTTTAGGGTTTCAATAGCTTCAAAAGAAAACAACTTTAGTGCGGCTCAATTTAGTACGGCAACATCCTATCAATTTTCTTCCTGTACCCTATTAAAGCTTTTCGATTTTTCTTTTTCAAAAATAGAAGTGGGTGAGTGTCTTCAAAAAATATCTTTCCAAAAGTAATTTAATGCATTCCAAAAAAGTAAAATCCGAAACAATGAGACACAGGAAGAAATTTGATGGGGTGCATGAAGTAACAGCCTCGTCTGCTATATAATATTCTTTCATCTTTATTCACAGATAAAGGGTTAGGGAAGACATTGGGTCAATGTCTTAATTCTATTTATTTTTCTTTGTATGATTAAAGTAAAAAATTAAGAATAAAGGCAGGTTAACTGAAGTACAAATTTAGCATTTGTTTGGATAAAAGTTAATAAAATTAAGGTTTAAATATAATTTTAATATTTGATTAATGTTAAAAAATTAATAAAGATAATTAAGATA